TTTGCACCTAAGGGGCCCTCAATCACATGAAAGAAAATTAAAATATTTGAATTGGGGTTATAGGATTCATAAAGATCTGGGTGATACAGATAGGGCAGAGATGATTTAGCTGAAACTTGTCGCTGCAAGGGAAAAACATAAAAACCTGACTGACATTTCATTTAAATTCTCTCTCTTGCCAAGAATAAAATGGCAGAACATTTAAGGCAGGCTTTGGAGCCACATGTCTATTATTTCAGACAGAGCCAGCCAGGACAGGTACAATATCATAACAGCACGAGAGAGCTGTCAGTCAAAATTTATTAAAAAGAAAGACAACTCTCCCTATTTGTTGTCATTATGTCCCAAAATATCGAGGGGGTGGGAGATGGCTTCTTAGAGTGCATGAGCCTACAAGGCCTTAAGAAAAACTCAGACACTCAATGAGCTTTTCTTAATAATACAATCATAGCTGAAGATAAAATAATACTATGAAATAGTATATATATAATGTTTATTATATATATACTAATATTATGAAATTAATTAATTAATGAGAATAAGACTATAAATCATGAACTACATGAGACCTCAAATTTATTGGAGATGGCCTAGAAAGAAAGTTCTCTTGAGCTAATCTCTGAATCTAGAAGCTGTTTTTCAGGGAAGAACATAGTAATATCAGGAAAGAACATAGGAAAGGTATCAGGAAACAACAGAGTAAATACAAATAAAATTTGGTTTTATCTCTATTTACTAGCCTGTCACATCTGGTGAGACTCTATTAAGACAATAGACTGATTCTTCTTTCATTTATTAAATTAAGTTCAGACCACAGACTCTAAAGTAAATTTGTAGTTCGATTCTCCTGATCTCAAGCATTTTTTTTTTTTTAGTATTTTGAGCCTAGAGGAGCATGAGATTGAAACAATAGCCATCTAACTTTAAAGGTGAAAGTCTGCATTTATTACTGGCTTTTACTAAGTTCTTTTCATCTATGTTGTTCTTCATCAAGAAGATGGCTATTTTGTATTAACAGATATATTGAGATTATCCAAGGACTGTACTCCCACACATGCACAGTATGTCCCATTATCAACATCTCCTACCAGCGTGGTACACTTGGTGCATGAACTACATTGTCATGTCATAATCCCCAACGATCTGTATTTTACATTGGGGCTCACTCTTGTTGCTGTACATTTTTTGAGGCTGAACAAACTTATAATGACATGCACCTACCATTATATCACACAGAACAGCTTCAATGCCCTGAGGAATCTCTGGGCTTCCTTCACCTGTCATGCTGTTAAAGGTTTTTGGAGGAATGAGTAAGGCATACTTTATTTTCTAGTACTAGGAGATAGAACACTTCTGTGAACATTGTCACTTACTGTCTGGATGGCCTTAATCTTATTGAGTGCTATCAGTCAAAGGCAGATTAACCTTTTGAGATTTAAAAGAGAAAGTGTCCTTGAAGACAATAAGATATATTGTTAAGTAGGTGTAAGTTATCTAGACAATTTCTCACATGGACTGAACAAATGTCTGCCCGAAAACATCTCATTAGTGGCCTGGCTAGAGTTTATTCGAATTTCTACTGGTGTATAGCTATAATGAAACTATATTCCTTTTTGGAGCAAAAAAAAGCTCTGAAAGTTACAGATAAGGAAAGTTAGAAATGTCTATAGTGATTTATCAGACAATCTGTACTCCACGTTTTTCTTCCTGTGGTTTTTTTCCCCTAAATCCTTGTACAGGTTACTAGTACAGTGTAATTTTGCTGTAGAATGTATGAATTTTTTTTCTCTACAGTTATCTCCTTTGCCGTTTAAGAATATTAGTTTTTTGCCAATTTTCCTTAAAATAATACTCTAGAATATTTTTTGAATAATTTAACATTAAAAAAGTATTTAGTAGTGCACAAAACACACTTTTTAAGTAAACATTTGACATTTGTATCTATCTAGCATATTATATCATTAAATTCATTTCAGTGCCAATTATGCCGCAGTAAGGTTGAAGTCAGCCACATTATTGCGTGGAAAGCACATACTTTCACTTATTTTGTTGTTGGAATATTCACTCTGTCTTTTACTGATCATTTTGACTGAACTGACCAGTTGAATCTACTGAAAGGGTCAATTACAGGTCTTAACTTTATTTATTCCCTAGGTTGAGCAATTATTTGAAAGTTTACTAGTTGCTTTGGGATGTGAAAGTCTCTTCTTAACTTTTATATAACTACCATATCTAGAGCTACCATTTGTTTTGAGGTTACATTGACTTTCCCTTGCATATCCCCTGACCCCCCAACGTGGACTAGCCACCTCCCGTGCATTCCTTAACACCCAGTACCAACCAGGTCCTGTAGGAGGTGAATCTGTTCTGAGTCTTCTTTCACTCTCTCTTGCACTCAGGGATTTTTTTCTTTGTAATTAGTACCTTATATTTTCTCATTTAGTACCTGTTGTTAAAACTTATCAAATCTAGTATTATATATTGCTGTACTATGTACTTGTTGTATGGTTTCACTTTTTAATACTTCTAATTATATTTTATGTCCCTTATCTACAGACAGTAAGTAAGTCTATACCATGATTGTCTCTATACTAAGTCTTCTTTTTAAATATTCTCATTTACTAGTGATATCATGATTAATTTTTTTTTTTCTGTACTGCTTGGATTTCACACCATTTAATTGGCGTGTTTGAGGTCACCTTACATGTAGACCTCCACAAGGTCTATGGAACAAGTCTCTACCTGAGCCTTCTAGACTATACATTCTCAAAGGTTTGGATTTTATATCATGGTATTTGACATTAAAGTGATTGTTGATTTCACCTTTTCCAAGTTTTCAATGGAATTCCCAGAACTTTGATTACATAGATTCCTTTACAAAAATCAATTTGAAATTTGGCCAAATATGATATACTAACTTCAGGTTTAGTTCTTCTCTCTCTGTACTTTAGTTCTAGTATTATAGAAGATTATGATGGACTTAAAATATGTGTGGAAATTCCCAGTGAAATTACTTATTTCCTAATCACTTGATGGCTGTAAGAAACACCCTTTCCATCCTCTTTTTACCCTTTTATTTCTAATAATATCAGAAAGTTCAGAAATAATATCAAGATGCTATGGACTTGAAGAGACAGAAATTGGTATGGATTTTAGAGAATGGGTTTTATTTGTTGAAGATGAAAATAGAGGATGAGATCTGATCAACTGAAGACAATGAATTAAAGAGCATATTTAAGGGGAAACATGAGACACTATGGGAAATAAAGAAAAATATTTTTGGTGTGCCATTTTGAATGTGGGAATCTGATATTTTATATTCCCAAACACCCAAGATTAAAAGTTAGTGAGTAGAATAAAATTTTTACTTGAAGCATTTAATACATTAATAATGTATTTTAATCAGTTTTGAGATTGACTTTGGTATTATCAAAAGAGAATGAGATAATTAGCTTGAAAAAAATATGTGCATTTTGATTAAATTGAGGCTCATACTTATTAAAATTTTATAGGATTTAAACTTTCTAGATTTGAATAATTAGATAAGTAATCTTCAGTTCATAGTTTAAATAACTTTATTTTTATACATTTATTTACTACATAACAAGACAACTTAAATATTGATTCTAGTTTTAGGTGTGATAGCTTAACACATCCCCAGTCATGTTATTCATTATTCTGTTTATTCTGTTAAAATAAACAGGTAATCTATGTAATTGGTTGAGCTATTTACTGTCAATAATTTTATTAATATAAATGAAATACATCTACATAACTGATTCAAGAAAGAGGGTGATGAGGCTAGGTATGTAGCCAGAGGTTGTGTGCTTGCCAAGCAATTGCAAAACCCCGAGTTCAATTTCCTAGTTTCACTAATTGAAAAGAACGAGGGAAAAAGAAAGAAACAAAGAAAAAAAAAGAAAGATGATAAATTATATCAGAAAAGTCTAACAAAATACCAGAAAATTTGAAGGAGAGAGTCCTCAAGTGAAAAATAGGACAATGGTCAAAAGAAGGGCTTTGGGAAGAGGTGTGTTTATTCTTGTTTTTATGTGTAAACACCACATATTTGCTATAGAGAATATAAGTAGTGCAGAGAATTGCAAACACAAAAGGAAAAAGAGCCCTTAAATCTCACTATTCAGAAGTAACCATAAGAAACATCAATTGAATAAACAAATAGAAGGGCATTTTAAAAGATAAAATTGTTATTTTATTAAACGTTTATGTTGAAAAGATAACTATATATGATGAAATACCAAATCTTAAGTATACAACTCTACAGATTTTTAATAGGTATATTCCCCTGTAGTATGCCTTAGATGAAGATATCCAGCAAGAAATACATATATTTTAGGAAGCACAATTATGATAAATA